AACATATAAAATAAATATAATTGGCTCGCCACTTTTGCACCATGTTTATACTGGCGTGCCAGGTGGTGCACCAATATAGTGCACCATTGGTATCGCCAAGTGCTCTGCACCAGCAACCCTAGTAAAAGGTCAAAAAAATGAAGGTGTAAAAGATCAAAAGAGCGAAGGTGAGACGCTCTCTTGACCTTTTTTACCATCTAAAAATTTAATTAATAATTAATTATATGTTCAGATAGTAAAAAAGATCAAGAGAGCGAAGGTAAAAAAAGGCCAAGAGAGTGAAGGTGAAAAATGCCAAGAGAGCGAAAATGCAAAAGGTCAAAAGGGTGAAGGTGAAGATGTTCAAAAGAGTGAAGATATAAAAGGTCAAAAGAGAGAAAGTGAAGAAGGTCAAAAGAACAAACCCATACCTCCAGGTTTGTCAACTTAGTAATTCTCCCGATTATCATTATAGATAACCAGAGTTTTCCATAAACTTTGTGAAATAAAAAAAAATACACACCTTTTTTTTTAATTTCCGAAAAATTATTTGGGTCCAACTCATCTATTCCTTTTAAAAACCTTTTGAACCAAATATCGTCTAATTCTATCCAATTAACATTTGTAGAAGGTAGCGAGGCGACAACAGCATCGCGTTGAAGGACTAAAAATTTGCAATATGAATATTTTCCTCTATGTTCCTCCAAGTAGAATCTGAGAGCTATGAATTATAAATTTTGTCAAAAAAAAACTAAATAAGTCTTCGACTTCTAAAATTAATTTTACTTTTATGTCCAGAAAATTTTTCATTTGTGATATCTTCATGAAAATATTTAGTATAATCTCATTCTTCTGACATTGTAATGTAAAAAAATTTATTTTAAAAGCAGAAAAGGGGTTTATTCATAACAGCTTGGCTAAGTAGTATCAGTAATATGAAAAAAATTTTCACACACGCACGTAAACAGAGTTAAAAAGGTAAAGTAAGCATATGAATTATCTGGTATATATTTGGCTTATGTGTATTTATAGATCTATGCATAAACTACAACCAATATTTTTCAACCAATCAACATCATGGAAGTGAATACGTAAATTTTTATCATAGTCCGTAGTAAAAATGAAGGTCCTTCGCTTCGCTCCGGAAATTGATAAAAGATAAATGAATTGAATTGAATTCAATATTATATTTAAATAATGTGTTAATTCATGTGATTTAATTAAATGATCTCATTTGAGAAATTTACAATAATACTAATAAATATATGGAGACAGGTTGTTTTCCCGGGAATTATTTATGAAACATAAAAATATTAAAAAAAATTAAATATTGAATAAATATCTGATCTATATATTGTGATAAATAATTAGAACTATGCATTAAGCATAAATCATATTTAAAAAATTTATGAAAAAGACTTTTACTAAAACGCACCTATAGTATTTTATACCTATATATATATTATCTCAAAAACTGGCTAATTAATTAGTGCAAGATGTTCTAAATAAAAATGCTCTACGCCCCTAAAAAACCCTTCCCAAACCCTAACCCTAACTCTAAATACTAACACTAATATGAAAATTTTGTGTTAAAAATTTTTATATTTAAAACTTAGAAAAATCTAAAAAACATAATAAAACATATGATAGGTGCAAAACCACCATAGGTGCGTTTTATAATAAATGTATAAAAAAAAGAAAGAATCACTATCACAATGTCTTCATATTTAGTATCATTATAATTTAGTATAAGAAACTTTATATCATTGAGTAATTTATATTGATTTGGTATATATGAATATAAAGAATCTTAATATCTATCAAGTTACGTCAGTTGATACGTATCACTATTATTAAATTTTTAATTAAAGAGACTCAGCATCGATTTATTAGTTTGATGTGATTATAGTAAAATTGAATAAATAAAAATATACATAAGTGCACCAGAATACTTTGTGCTAGTGTCAAAAAACCTGCATTTTTATCTTTAGAAACAATGCTTGAAACTATAGAAAACAATGAAGAGATTTAAATACAAAATAAAAAGATATAATTGAGATTTAGTAATAGAATTTTGAATTGATTTAAATTTACCTCTTAAAAAAATTAGATTGTTAAAAAGGCATTAATTGATAAATAAATTGTATGTAATTTTTGTCAACTGAATTAAATTATTTCTCCTCATACGAGGACGGATAGTTTTATATTTAGGCATTTATAGAGATATCATCGCCCAAAAGTTTAAAAAAAATTCAAAGACTGCGGTCAAGTTTTTCCAAACTTTGAGCAATAGTATTTCAATAATTACTTATTTAAAATTGATGAAAATTTTTTTATTTTAATTTTATTGATTCATAGAATTAAAATAAAAAATTTGTATTGATTTTTTATACTGAAATATTTTTGATCAAAGTTTGAAAATTTTCGTAATGGCTGCGTTAGACAATTGTAATTATATATTTGAATTACATCATACTGAACCCTTAAAAAGACATACAGTATACATACATAGATTATATAATGATGATTATCAATATGTAGATCACTAGACCCTTATCGTTATATAAGTATATCTAGGGGTGTGAATTAATCGAAAAATCGATTTTCATTTAAAATGGTCTTGGGAAAAGCTGTTGCGCGATAATTCGTAATGTCTCCTAGTGAGCCAAAATTTATTTTTATAAGCTTTCAAAATAATAATGATAGGATATTTATCTATAGTATTTTTTTATTTTTATTTTTATAATTATAGTTACATATCTTAAATATTTTTATGGCCAAGTTGTGTATTGAAAAAGGTGTATTTAAAAATGCTTCCCTATTCAGTGCTCTAACCTTTGATGACCTTTTGGTAATATCCAAATAAATGTACCTAAATTCTTAATCCGAACTTTAGCATACTTATCATAATTTTTTTTAGGAATTTACCCAAAAAACTTCATTAAATTGTTTTAACCTTAAAACATTTATAATGTTCATCATTACAAAATCATCGTCTTATCTCAAACTATCACCAGAGAATACATTATATTGGTTTAAGGAGGTTGTATATCAGATATTTTCAAAGAATATTGCCATTAAATATTATGAAAATGCAGAAAGAGAAGTAAACGATTTTAAGACTAAACAGGTATATCTAATAGCTAGATACAGTATTAAGCCTATTAAACGATGATTAAGATTGTAGAACAACCAGGTTTTTTTTTTATCATTGTACCTTATCTAATTTATAATTTAGATGGATTGTTAATCTATAGATCTCGGACAACCAGACCTTATAATTAACTTTTCACCATTGCTTTAAAGTTTCGGGCAACCAGGCTTCAGGCAACTGAACTTTAATATTACTATTTCACTCGATACTTATTAAAGTTTTGGGCAACCGAACTTTGGCATTACTATACATTTTCATTCAAATATATTTCAAACTAATGATCAGTTTAAAAACCCGTGATGAGGACAGACATTTGGTTTTAAATATTACAAGAGTTATTATAAAGAATTGATTCTGTTAGCATTTTTATTTTAGGCAGAAAGCAAACACTTTGGTTTCTGGTATCTGGTTGGAAAATGGAACTTCAAAAAGATAGCAAAAGAAGAATTTGCTTCGTCACCACATCATTCAATTAATGTAAGAAAAAGGATTCAAGAATCTGAGTATCGTTTACGGTTTGCCAAGCGTGTCAAGGTTTGTTATTATTGATTATTTGGAATTATTTCAACACTATTCACTCAAATACAATTTGCTAGGCCAGTTTAAAACCAAATAATGAGTTTAATAAATTCATTGAAGCAGTCATAAGGTTTGATTTGGAACAGTTGCCTGAAAATAAACCACTCCGAAGTTGGCACATCAATACCGATGCTATCCCTCCGATTGTGTTTAATTAATTTCTATCTAAATTTAAACAACTTCGTATAATTGATAATAAATATAGATTTATTCTTCCTGATGACATTAAAATTTGGGTTAAAAATAGTTGGGAGTTGCTCACGGATGATTTAACATCACCGAATTTAAACAAACCAAAGTATAATAGGGGAGACGAAATATTCTTTCTACAAATGTTAAACACTATATGAGTGTTTAATTTTGGGCTTTTTTATTAAACACAATTTTAACAAAAATTTATTTTAGTCGAAATATATTCTTAAAGTATAAAGATATCTCCATAAAGGAAATTTCCGAGAAAACTTGGTTGACAGATACAGTTCATCAATTTTTAGAAGCAGCTGTGCACAACATTCCTGGGCTGTCTGTTTACTCATAAGCAAGAAAAATTATTTTAGCATATAATAAAAAGTTACCATCTAATATTTTTATATTTTAGCATATGCGCTACTCTTTCGAGACATCTTGGAAATGAAGAAAATCGTAAACCTGACAGAACTGTAAGATTAAAACTTGAAGACAACCAGTTTGAAATTCTCTATATAGAAGGTGCAAACCCAGAATTGAAAGGAAAAAGTATCAAGAAGACGCAGAAAAACTCCAGCAGCTAATAAAACTAAATCTTGACAAGCTCCTAAGGGATTTTCAGCATGTATACGGAAATAAAATAAATAAAGAAATTGTGAAAAAAATTTACAATACTCCTCTTATTACAATTCAATCTACTCGTAGATATTATTAATTTTAATATTATTTACTAATTTATAATATGTTTATAATTTTATTCATCAAAATAAATATTTTTAAAAACATCATTGATTTTGACAATTAGTAACCGAAGAGCTCATCTACTGGTATGTACAACTACTTTCTATAATATCAAAATACCATTCCCAAATAAAGATCATTTTTTGTAATTGTTTTTGAGGAATTTTCACGATTTAGTACTTCTGGTAGATGCTGACATCCTCCATGTGGTATACAAACAATTAAAGGCATGTTCTCTTTTTGGTATTCAATATATCTATTACTGCTAAATATAACCTCTGGTTCATCTGTCAGCATTTTTGTTAGATATCAATTAATTTATGATTAACGTTTTTTAATTTTTTAGTATTTATAATTTTGCTAAGTAATTAATTTAATCAACTATTGTTCTGAAAAAAAGGGAACAATATTCTTTAAAATAATAAGTAGAGTAATTAACAAGTTGTTAGAGTGTTCAGAATTCTGTGGTGCATAATTCTGCTTGCTCTAAAAATGTCTTTTTGTATTGTATTTAGTTTTTAAAAAATGATTAAAGTCACACTTATCTTATGAAGACAATACAAAAAAATATTTTTAGAGTGAGCAGAATTATGCACCGCAGAATTCTAGACACCCTAAATTAACAAGTAAATTTTGCTATTTTTTCGTCTATTTAATAAAGATTGTATTGATAATTTAAAATGAACCTAAAAATTACGACATTTGCAGTTAATTTGTACCATTACAAATAAAGTAATAAAACTCTTGATTCTCATAAAATTAAAAGAAAATTAATAAAAAAAAAAAAGAACATAATTGAACAAAAAATCAGTTCAATTAATTTTATAATTGTTAAATTTTAATTAATGATTTATTTTTATTTAAGTAATACATTTGTGCTAATTAAAGTTTAACTTTAAAATGCATTTGAGTATTAATTAAGCAGAGTTAATTGAATAGATATATCAAACAAATAATCAAAAACAACATTAAAGATTTTGAACTTGAAAAACTTAGAGAAATAGTAACGTAACTTACAATGTAACTTATATTGTAAGTTATGTTGTCAGGTAAGTTATAATGACCCTACTACCCAGATAGATTAAACCCTAATTTTGCCAAAATTTATATTTTAGTTTTGCCCAAATTTATATTCAAATTCTGCCCAAATTAAACTATAATTTTGTCCAAATTTATATTTGAATTTCATCTAAATTAAACCTAATTCTGCCTCTAATTTTACATTCGAATTCTGCCCTAATTCAGGCAAAATTTATAATTCTAATATAAATTTGGGCAGAAGTAGAGATAAATTTTGGCAGAATTAGGGTTTAATTTGGGCAGAATTCGAATGTAAAATTAGAGGAAGAATTGGGGTTTAATTTAGGCGAAATTCATATGAAAAATTATAGTTTAATTTGAGCAGAATTCGAATATAAATTTGGGCAGAATTAGAATATAAATTTGGCAGAATTAATCTGGGTAGAATTCAAATATAGATTCAGGCAAAATTAAAGTATAAATTTTGGGTAAAATTAGAGTATAAATTTTGGCAGAATTAGAATTTAATTTGGGCAGAATTCGAA